AAAGATGATCAGAGAACTGAAAGTTCCGAGTATACAGTAACAGGAGCAACTTGCTAATTGCCACGAAATTATTCAATAGAGTGGCGATGGTGGGCACCGAGGAGGCGAGTCACGGCCCTGCCACGGACTCTCTCCGACCGTATTCTCCTACTCTCCTAACTCGTACTTCCAACTCGCCTACCTTTAACAAGTTGGACGACACACGTGTGCTTCTCTCTCTCTCTCTCTCTCTGTCTTTCTCTTTCTTTTGCTATGCCTCCATCGTCATCGTAGGTACCTACCTACCCGGTTCTATTTGTCTCTGTCACCAGTAAATGGCCTTTACCGAGCATCGAGTCTCTCCTTTTTCCTCCCCCTCCTTCTTTTCCGTTTCTTCTGCTTCTCTTTCGTTCATTTTATTTCTCTCTCGGTCGAGCACAAGTCGACACTTAATTTCGTTTGTTATCCGGAAATAAATAAAACGTCTTTCTTATGTAACTTTCTTTACATTCCAGTTTGTATTTATTTTTCTTCGATATATTTCATCTCTCTCTTGTGTTTTGATCGACGCTCGAGATATATTGCATATGCAACCAGCCGCCGAGCGAATACGAAAGTGCATTCGACTTTGCTCGATGAATTGAAACGAGAGTCGGTAAATACACGTATGTACGTATAAATACGTAGCAAGCAACCTGTGGCCAATGAATACCTCCTCGCGAATGAAAAGAAAATTTCAATTATCGTTCATTGTGTTAGAATATGTGCGTTTCAAGTCAAAGTAATTTAGAAATAAAAAAATAAAACGTGGATAAAGGAAGCGTTGGAGGAGGTACTTTTACAACCCCCGTTACGGTAGACGTGCGTGCATGCTCGATTTGCGACGGCCATCTTACACACGCGCATAAACGCACACATACTCGCAGACGTTTATGGTTGAGCGTGTTACTCGCAAAGAACGTGAGTACATTCCTCCTGTCCTCTCGGAACTCTCTTCGTTCCAACCTACGCTACGTCATTCCCTCGATTCTTATCGCCTCGACAATAAAAACTTTGCAAACGCCAAGCGAACCTTCCTTCTATTTTCTTTCTTTTTTATTTTCTTACCGCAGTTTGCGACAACTTTTTCAAACGAGGACGTACAAGGAGTTCAACTGTATTAATACGAGGATTTTCTTTTTTTCCTTTTATTAACTCTTTTTTAGTCAAATTATATATATGATTACGCGTTAGGAAAACTCGGAGAAGACTCGTTTAGGATGGTCGGTTGGTAGCTCGTCGCTTTAGGTGCATGCTTAACAATTCTGAGTTCCCAGGTTCGAGTCTGACCACCGGATGAATAATATCCCCTCGTGTTGTGGCATTTTTTCGCTTTCGAAAATACGAGTTGTATAACACCCCGACATGTTGTTTTTCAAATGTGTTGGATAAATTGCAACTCGTAGATTAATATTTGCGTCTGAATTGCCCTGTATTAGTGTATGCTTTATCTAATACAGTTTCCTATAAGACGACAAATGCTCCATTTGTTTTTGTTTTTTTTTTTTTTTTCATTTTATCTCTTCTCCCAATTCATTTCGTACGGAGACATAAATGTAAAATGGCGGAACGAAGATGTTCGGGTTAGTTTTGATCGGAAAAGCGCGGAAAGCGATGAATGGCTGAGAGAGTTTAAGAAAGCAGATAAAAGTTGATCGGTAATAAAACGGACGGCGAATGTTCGGACTCTCGAGAATATACCGAAGAAGAAATCGTCGACGTTATAAAACGTAAAAGGAGTGAGATGTTGGGACACCAACCCGTCTGGGTGCTCTTCTTCTCGTACCTTCGGAAGATTGTTTAAACTCATTAACGATTGTTTAACTCGTTAAAGACTCATTAGTGCCTCGAACTCGTCGGACCGCTGGAGAATTTGCTCTCTCTCTCTCTCTCTCTCTCTCTCTCTCTCTCTCTCTCTCTCTCTNTCTCTCTCTCTCTCTCTCTCTCTCTCTCTCTCTCTCTCTCTTCTCGTTTTTTCATCGAGCAAGCCTTTCCTTTTCTTCCGTGCTTTATTACAAGTAAATTAATCCAAGTTTTCTCGCGGAAGGCTAGTTTTCCGCTTAATTGTTTATCGACGAACGATAAGAATTGTCGCGATGCGATAAGTAAGTATTGCCGAGTTAAGAAGAAAATAAATAGGTAGATACTTAGATAAGCAGATTAATAGACAGAGAGAAAGAGAGATAAAAAAAAGGTTTTAGTTCGGTTTAAAGTAAAATAAGCTCTACCTTTGGAGTAGGTATAAAGGGTATAACTCTCGTTTAGTTCGTGTATCCGTTTAAAATCCTGCCCGTGGAAGTTTTCACGACAGTTTTTATCTACGGACCATTTACTTAATGAGAAATCAGGAGAGAGAGCAGAAAGCTACGAAAGAGCGGAAAGATTTAAAGGGATCTTTTCCTTTTCCTCTTCTTTTTCCTATCTTTTCCTTGTCCTTTTTCTACGCTTTTCTCGCCTTCTATCTATCCGTTCATTTTTCAAGAAAGAAATCGCACCGAACCAAGTTTGTCCGTCGTGTTTCTCCTCCAAAGAAGCCTGGCGCGGTCAAAGAAAGAGGGGAGGAATAATGCGCGACAAAGACGTGCCGCTATTTCTACCTATCTCTTTCGTCTCATTAAAGACGACGTCTGATTCGTCCTACGTTCGATCCTTTCCAGTAAACCTCTAGTACAAACCTTTGCTATCCCGTTGAACTTGCTTTTTTTTTACTTTGTTCTATTTCTCTTCAAAGCAACTCTCGGCGCTTGTTTTCTCCTTACGCTCGCTTTATAATTTCTCCTTTCTCCATTAAGGGTAAGCAACGATGGTAGCGGGTGTCCATTAGTTGAGTATTTACGGTTCTCTCGAGGAATAGTACGCGTAGAGGAACGATAAACGTACAATAGAGAAGAAAGAATACAGAGAGGAAAACAGTCGTAGGTAGGTGTCATCGTCGTCCCTTCCTCCGATTAAACGTGCTCGACCGCATCCAACTATGTTCTTTTATTTGGACGAACTTTATCTCTTTAAAGGTGTTTTTCGCTTGCGAAAACGCCCCCCTCCTCCTCCTCATCACCGTTCCGCCTTCCATGCACGTTCGGCTAATTTGGCCGTTCGAAAGACCTATTTAAATTCCAGCTCCTCGTAACTTTCTCTCTCCTTCTCCTAGAAAGGAAAGTTTCATTTCTTTTCTCTTAAATCGAACTTACTATTCCAGTAACTTTTTAAAATTCTTAGGACGAACGTCGTCGTCTGCCTAGCTTCTTTTCCTTTTTTTCCTTTATTTTCTTTGATTTCACTTGTTCCTTTTCGATTTGATCTTCCTAACGAGAGGATTCGAGTCGCGACCTCTTTCTCTTTCTCTTATTAGATATAATGTGCATATATTTATATAATTGGATCGAGAAATGGTTACCTAAATACCTCTTGCAAAGTATTTCTATTTAACATAGTTCCCGTTGAAAAAGATCGAACGACGATGATAAATAAAATGTATTTATTTCTCTCGGATGATTATTCTTATCTCGTCGAAGCATCGTAGGCACTTTGTATTCGATTATCGCTCGTTATTACATATTTACACACACACACCTACTAAGGTGTCTAATCATTTTCATTCCTCCTTCTAATTAGGTATTCAAATGACTGCGTATAGGAAGGAGGGGGAAAAAAAAGGAAACGAGTCAGGGATCGTGGTATGAAAATTTATCGCGTCTAAAGTATCTCGACGTCGTTAATCTATCATTTCAGGTTCGTTTAATGTTTGGCTAGCAACACTTGGAAGGCTGGAATAATTTTTCGTAGCATCGTTCTCTCTTTGTAGCCCGTCCGTGCTGCTCGCGTTAACATTCTCGTTAGGCTAAGATCGCGATCGGATCGCGAATGTATCGCGGCTCGTAAACCGTCGCGGCAATTAAGACTCTCGTTAATTATAGTTTTAACCTACATAAAGGTGGCGCGTTGCTACTTCATAATGGGAAGAAAAGTGTATACAAGCGTACGGCACGTTCCTAACTTAACCCCGTCGTCGTAATCTCTTCTTTGCGCGGGTGACAGAGTTCCCGATACTTATCTCTTCCCCACGTTGGATAGGTGCCACGATCTAGTTCCTTTGTCTTGGTCGCCGATCATTACGTTTTCCACTTATTTATAAAGAGGAGCTACGATTATCGAAATAAACCCCTTCCCTGGCTTCTCCGATGGCCGACAAGCTTTCCGTTTCTCCAGCTCCCGTTTTCCAGAAGAAAGAAAAGAAAAGTTTTCCTCGACGATTGGAGTACCCGCACCACGTGCCTTATTCTTTCTTTGGATATTTTTCGCAGAGCTCGCAGAAAATCGGGCCTTTCATTTCCCTAAAAGAGTCGATAGCTGATATTCCTTCGCTCGATAAATTCTCTATCTATAATACTCTTTTTCCGCGTCAGAGTTTTGCTCCTTTCGGGTCACGAAATCCTACTTGAATTTTCTCCTACGCGGAGGAGAGTTCTCGCTGACGCGATAGTAATTATCTGTTAGATATCTCGTCTTGCTTTTGTTTAATCTCGATCGAAGAAAGGATTACCGGTGTGTTGTAAACCTTGTCAATGGATGCCAGCCGAAAGAGTTTCTCGATTCCAAATCAAACTTTATATTATTTATCGATTTGGCATTGTTGGAAAATGCGTTCGACGAATTTCTCTATTCGTTAATATTCCGATTATAAATGCATGCGATTGTTAATTACAAATCTAAATAAATCTCGCGCTACGATACACAGATACTACCTATAATATCGTTATTTGTTGGCTGAAAAATAATATACGTGCATTATTGACATGATTAATAAAAAAATCATGCCCCGCGTACCTTCATAATCGATAATTAAACGGGCAACATAATAATGTTTTATTATATTTTCAGGTCGTTAATCGGATCAATCCGATAAACGTGAATAATTGATATGAAAGATGATGGAAAGGTGTGAGGGCGGACTTTAATACATATTCGATTTTTGATTGTTTCAGGGCTGGGCGAGGCTCTTGGAAGAGTCCGCCTCCGCCGGAAGGGCCCTGTAACTCCCTTTGCAGGGAGGAGGAAGCAGCGGAGGAGGAGGAGGAGAAAAATCGCGACGACCAGGATCCGAATAGATAGTAAAATAGAATGGTAGTCTTCCCGGGCGAGGGTGGGGTCGATGCGGTCGCGGCGGCATCCGCGAGGACGATGGGAGGGATGATTTTCGGATCGTCGTCCAACAGACAAATCCGAGTGTTGTTGGCGATCCTGGTGATATTGGCGCCGCGATTGCCGAGCGCTCGTTCTACGCCAGCTGACATAGTGCAAAGGTTTCACGATAGCATAGTCGAGCGTATGAATCATTTGGTGGTGGACAAGAACACGGGTCGGGTATACGTAGGGGCGGTCAATCGTTTGTATCAACTCTCGCCGGATTTGAATCCAGTGGTGCAGGTTGTGACGGGCCCGCAGGGGGACTCGACCTTTTGCTCGATGATCGACTGTCCGCAAGAGACGCTCAAGAAGCCGGTGGACAACGTCAACAAGGCCTTGGTCATCGACTACACGACGACCCGTCTCATCTCTTGCGGCATATTGTTTCAGGGAATGTGTACTGTGCGGAATCTTCACAATATATCGGACGTCGTGCAAGAGGTTCGCGAGGCGGTAGTCGCGAACAATCCGACGGCCTCGACGGTAGCTTTCATAGCGCCGGGTCCACCGAACCCCCCGGTTTCTCAGGTTATGTACGTAGGAGTTACGTTTACTGGGAACTCGCCGTACAGATCCGAAGTACCTGCCGTTAGTTCGAGGTCCTTGGACAAGGACAAGATGTTGAACATCGCGGAAACCGCGGTCACGACCGGTACCAGGATGTATGTAAATTCGCTCTCCCGCGAACGGTACCCCATCAATTACATTTACGGGTTCAGCAGCGGCGGCTTCAGTTACTTTCTCACGACGCAAATGAAGAACACCGACACCGCGATTTACATATCGAAGCTCGTCCGGGTCTGCCACGACGACGAGCACTATTATTCCTACTCGGAGATACCGATCAACTGCACCAGCGACGTCAAGATCTACAATCTGGTGCAGGCGGCTTACGTCGGTAAAGCCGGCTCCGTTTTAGCCGGCGATCTCGGCATAACCGCTCAGGACGACGTCCTCTTCGCCGTTTTCGCGGAGAGCAACGGCACCAGCAGCGACGAACCGAATCCCCTCTCGGCGCTCTGCGTATATTCCCTCAAAGCTATCAGGAGGAAGTTCATGACCAATATACAGAAATGCTTTACTGGCGAAGGACAACGCGGATTGGAGTTTATCTCGCCGAGTCACAAGTGCATATCAACGGTGAGTACTGACATTTTTGTTCCTTTACGGCATTTAAAACAAACAAAAAAGAATAAAATAGGGCCGAAAAAGACGAGTCGTAAATCAATAGTCGCGCAGTAGTCGTCGGACGTATGTGGGAGGTAGGCGGGAGGTAGGCGGGAGGTAGGCGGGTAGCGGGGCACATCCGTATTTACGTAACAGGTGGTATCGAAGAGCACGAAAGAGATGGGGAAATACACGTAGGAGAGGAGGAAGCCACGTTCTCTTGCAGATTCGTCGGCGAACAAAAAGAAAGGAAGGAAGAGAAGAGAGAGAGGCCGTTTCGCGCGCGTGCACTTTCCTTTTCGTTTGGTTTCTTTATACGTACCTCTACCTTTTTCTTTCCCCTTTCCCAACTCACACACAGATCTACTTCGTTCTTTCTCTCCTTTATCTCTGGACACGGCGTTTTCCTAACGCTCCCTTTCCCTCTTTTTTTGCTCGGCCCTACAATTTTCATTTTATTTCGTTCTATTCTCTTAAAGAATTTTTCCGATCCGAAATTCCCAAGATTGTAGTATTCCAAGAATACGGGCTGGGGAGGAAACGAGAGAAAGAGACGGAGAGAGCGGAGTAAATAAAGAAAAGAGAAGAAGATAAACAAGAAAATGCGTGTAGAAGGATCGAAGGGGTCCTTTGGTCTAGTATTATATAGTGAAACTTTGAAAACGAGCCGAGTTACGAGAAAAAGAGAAGAACATTATCTCGGAGACCAGTGCAAACAATCTTTATCTCCTTTATGGTCTTCCTTATCCGCGTTCTTTCTCCCACCCTTTATTCTCCCTTTTTCCCTTTTTTTTCACGCATTCTCTTATAGCTTCGACATTTTTCTCACCCTTTCCAACGTGAAAAGATCCTTTGTGTCCATCGCATACTTTCTCACCGTTAGATGAGAGGGAGAGAGATGCAGTAGAAAAAGGAAGACGAAGAACCTGTTTGCTTTCGAAAATATAAAGAAATCTTATGGACGCGAACGCGCCAAGAATATCATTTTTCTACCAAGGATGAGATTCGCCTTTATCGTACAACAAAAAGAGAAATTTGTAATATCATTCTTTTTCTCTCCATGCCCCTTTCTTACTTTAGACTCGAAGAAAACTTGTAAATATTAAGACAGAAGAACGCTTCGTTAGGGAAGGACTCTCGCCGAATCGGGAATAATTTATCCTCTTCCTAAGAGAGAGAGAGAGAGAGAGAGAGAGAGAGAGAGAGAGAGAGAGAGAGAGAGAGAGAGAGAGAGAGAGAGAGAGAGAGAGAGAGAGAGAGAGAGAGAGAGGGGTTGGAATGCAGAATGCCGGAAAGGGGAAAGAGCGCGCGGGGTGTCTATTTTTAAGCGGGGGAATGTCGTTTTACTCGGCACTTTGGGAGACGAAATGGTACGAGAAATTCCGCTGGCGTGGCACCCGAAAAAGAAAGAAACGGAGAGAGACAACTGTTTGCTATTAAATATTTTTTTTTTTTTAAATAGAATCGTATATAGATTTTGTCTTTGTTCTCACACGTTCGATTAGATTTTCTTTCGGAGACGCGCGACGTACAAATACAAAAAATCCAATTTCGCAGGCAAGAGAAAATAAAAATGGTGCTACGTCATAGACCTTGAAACGGAACAGCGAAAACTACCGCGACAGGTGTCTCGTTTTTGCCGACTCCATTCATCGAATGGGGAACGCTGTGTATAGGCTGGACCTTCTCATGAATGAACACCGAGAGACGAGTGATCCAATTACTTTGTCCGTCTTTCTCTCTTTCTCTCTCTCTGTCTCTCTCTCTCTCTCTCTCTCTCTCTCTCTCTCTCTCCTTTTACAAAAGATCTATATTTACGTCTTTATTTACGAGTCGTACATTCGAGTAATCCGATCTATAGATATGCAATAAATATTTCTAATAGGTTCGATCATATTTCCTGCCATTTTATTATCGATATTATTACCAAATAAAAAGGAATTAGTAAATCGAGGAGGATGTAAACAGAAATGATAAAAGGTTCCAAGTAAATGTTTCTTTTAAAGATAAGCGTAATTGATATCGGTATTATGGAACTGAAAGTAAGACGGAGAAAGAGAGAAGAGAAATGAGAGGCGGACGAAGCTTCTGTAAACAAACGATATCGTCTACGAACGAGAGCTCGAATTTATTTGCACGAGTCTTAGACGACGAGAATGGAAATTATCTATGTATTTACGTTCGTTAGAGTCGACGACGAGCTTTCACCAAGAATATCTGCTTTTCGCAAAAATCGATTAATGATCCTCCCTCCCTCTCTCTCTCTCTCTCTCTTTGTCTTTTTAGCATGTTCGCGTTAGAGGATCATAAAGCATCATCGACTTACGGTTATTCCTCGCTAATTCGAAAACGAAAGTAAAGCGATCGATTCATTTATAAAAAGTATATTATATAATTATGTAATCTATAGAGTCGTACTTACTAAATATTTCTCCAAGTATTGTATATTATAAAAGTATCTCATGGTAAGTGTTGAAATACTTTCGCAAGTCATTGTATCTATTTGTATATATAAGGCGGGTACGGCGTTTTCCTACCTATTGTATATATATATATCTGCGTACACGGCAATAGGGTGATCAAATAGGAGAACGTTAAACAGGGAAGCTTATTGCGAGTTTCTACGCTCGTCTTCTCTTATCTTTTCTTCGATCGAGAATATCGTTTTACGAATCGCGCACGGAAGGAAACTATTTTATCAACGTATTTCAAATGACGATGAGTAGATTTTCGGTGAGAAGAAAATAAATTTCCCCTTATCGCGTGGTCGTATTTTCGATAGAGTTTTTTTAGTATGCGCTATTTAGATAAAGGCTAAGCTAATAACTAACGGATCTAAAGATATACTAACTATAGTATACATATAGAGGCGTATGTATCTACGCCTATAGAGAAATGAAATCGCGTAGGACTCGTGCATCCGCTAGCTTGGATTCAATTTTTACGTCACAAAAGGATAGCGAGAGAAAAGTTGGAGAAGGGCGAGGTTCGTCATCGGCGGAGACCAACCACCCGTCACGTTCGAGGAAAAACCTATTCGCGCAAATTGGATGGCTTCGCTTCGGTCCCGGCTCGAGCTTTGCAATTAAAAACTTTCGAATGGCGAAAAAAAAGGTCTTTCGCGATGGCTGCTTTCGTCAAAGATTTTTCTCTCGCTCTCTAGTTTTCCCCGTTCTTTTCTTTTCTTATCCTTTGTGCTCGCACTATATGGTAGAGAAAAAAAGGGATAAAGGGCGTGTACTTGGCAGGTACTCGTTCGAGAGTCTTGCAGAGAAAACCACTGTGCGTTTTCAGCTTCGTGCGTTACGTCCATGAAAGGTTTGCCGCCGACTTTCCTCCCTCCGTCCTTTTTCCTTCATTTTCTTTTTTTCCTCGTTACATATTTTTTACCCATTTTTCCGTACCTTATGTTTTTTCTCGAATACGGGAAAAGTGGGGCATCTTCCTATAGGTACTTTGTACGCGATCGATGCGTTTTTTTTCTTTTTTACATCTCTCCTGTAGCCCAGTCAATAAGAGGTGAAGGAAAAACTTTCAGGTAGAAGTTCTCGACAGTTTGATACAAAGGTAATTCGACGTC